TATATATGTGCTTTCATAAAACTTGGGGGTTAGTATGTTGATAACTGTTTTATTATATATATATATATATATATATATATATATATATATATATATATATATATATCAACTTGGTCCACTCATGTTTGTTTTGCGCCCCCTTCAGGACTTAGAATCGAGGCATACAATCCTTGCGTCAAGACACTTCCGCATCAACATCTTCATGTCCTCTTGGTGTAGGACCCACTCCTTTGTTTATTCAATTTTATATTAATTATTTAAGCATTCTAGTTGAGTTGTGTGTTCTGAATATGTTCTTGAAATGCATATTCATTATATTTTAAATTTATAAGTTTTATCTATCCCTTGTTTTAAGCTTTTGCACTCAATAAATGGCTTTCGTCACCCTCAGGGGTCGGCCAACACGTGCCTATCATGGTATTCAGGGAATATCGGGATTGGGGAGTGTCAAATTCATGGTGGATTTGGTGGTTTTTGGGTTCGTCCATTATATTGTTGAGTGGTTGGGGTGTGTCGGTTGGTGATGCTATGCTGATGGTAGATGTGACGGTGGGATAGATTGGTCGTGGTGGTGGTGAGAGAGAGAGAGGCATCATATAACAATGGTGGTTACTGGATTTGATGGCTGTGAATGGAGCGGTGCGAAAGATGACGGTGGAAAAAGTAAGAAAGAACAAAGTCAAACAAATTAACAGAAAACAAGTATTTAATGCTCCAACATGTTATATGGTTAAAAAAGAAAAATAATTTTTATGAATGATTGCCGGTTCCCCTGTACGAGAAAATTTTGTGTAGGGTTTAGTTTGTCATTGAATTTTGTTGAATGATACTACAATTCACTCAAAACTCACCACGTGTCACGTCTTAAATATAATTTTTCATCATTCTTTTATATTTAAAATTCTCATAATTATTTTTCTTCATAATTGGTATAGATCAATCTAAAACAAAAAAAAAAAAAAATGGTTGATTTTTTTTCTTACTGATCCTTTGTACTGTTTAGATCCTGCTCATTTCTGCTTTCTTCCACATCTATCATATAAGTTTGGCCCTCTTGAATGAAACTCATGAAACACTATAGAAGAATATGAAAATCATGATAGAGATGTATAAACACAAAATACATGAAACATACAAGACACATAAAACACATATGAAGCACATACAAAACACATGATAGAGATGTATAACACACAAAATATGTGAAACACATGACACACACGAAATCAAACATATGAAACACATGACACATATGAAACACATGAAACACATACCAAATACATACAAAACACATGAAACGCATGAAACAGAGACTTACACACATGAAACGGAAACATTTAATCATCCTCTATATAAGCATAGGTTGAATATCTAACCATCACACAACATATTCACCAATCTTCCAACCTTCAAAGTGTTTTTGTTTCCTCAACATCATCAATATCTCATTAATCGGTGATAGAAGAAGACGTAGCTGGGCAATGCAGATGTCACAATACCAAGCAAGCCTTGCAAATGCGGATGCAGAAATGAACAACGAAGAAGTCGAATTTGCAAACTCGCTTATGCACTATGAGCACTATGTCGAATTTGGCTATTGTGGTTCTGTCACGTGGCGTTCATTTGTGTAGCGTGATAGAGAAGAGTGTCATGACCGGATGATGAAAGATTATTTCATCGAATGTCCGAGATATCCTTCTCATGATTTTCGGAGGCGGTTTCGGTTGAGGAGAGAGCTTTTTGAAAGCATCTTGAACGCAATTGTCAATCATGGCCACTACTTTGGAAGGAAGATAGATGTTGTAGGCCGACAAAGTCTATCACCTCATCAGAAGCTCACATCTGCAATTCGGATGGTAGCTAATAGGTGCTTTGTAGACTCAACTGACAAATATTGTCAACTCACGGAAAGTACTTCTATTGAGAACCTCAAGCGCTTTTGTAAGGTAATTAAAGCTATATATGGAGCCACATACCTCTGCAAGCCAAATCGTGAATATTTGAATAGGCTTCTACGCAAGGCAGACAAAGAGGCTTCCCTAGCATGATATGAAGTCTCGATTGTATGCATTGGGAATGGAAGAATTGTCTTACTATTTGGGCTGGCCAATTCAAGCATGGCCGTCACAATAAGCCAACCATTATGCTTGAGGCTGTGGCGTCTTACGACACATGGATTTTCGGTCAATCTTGCAAATCCAGTAGCAATTTGTGCACTAATCGGATCTTGGGACTTTCATTTTCTCTTTGCTTCCTTTTGCTTATCTCTTCCCTAGGGCCTTGCAGAAGAAGAAGTTGGGGTCAATTCATCGACACCTTCATTGAAATCATTTATCGGTGCGGCTTCACGTTGAAATAATCTTCCCCATTGTTAGTCCGCATCGGTTCACCACCTTGGACAATCCTTGAGGACGTCCCAAGCATGATGCAACTTAAAAAGGTTGATTTTTTGGTGTTACTCTTGTCTTGTAAATTGTCATTGCTTTGTCACCCTATGCAAAAACTACATAAAAACAATTAGTTGCAAAATAATATTATGTACATGACAAATAAAATATCAACAAAGAAACTCACAATTTATGCGGCTCTCCTTCCACTAGTCATGTCAACCACGGCTCTCTCCAAGCTTCCCTTCCATAAAGGGCACGCTTTGTTGATAACCTTCCACCTATCGTAAACACCACCACCTTCCCTTCGGCTAGCGTTGGAGTTTTCATGGAACTTATCAATGATTTTACCCCACAAAACCTTTTTATTTTGATTCGTGCCAACGACACCATCTTTGCTAATAGAAACTCATGCCAAGCATAAAGTAACATCTTCCTCACAGGTCCAATTACGACCTATAATATGCTCTTTTGCCATCTTGAAAAATTTGGAAATGGGAAGAAATGGTAGAAAGAAAAATTGGAAGAATTGTAGGAGAAAAGTGAGTTTTGTGTGGATGTTTGAACAAATACATAGGTATTTATAGAGTTTTTTGGTGAATTTTGAGTTACATAATTTTTTTAATTATTTTAGCCGTTGGATTTAAATTTGGACCGTTAGATTTGATTATATTCAATCTCAGCTGTTAGATTCAATAAATATATAAATATAAAACTAAAATAAAAGTTTGAATCTAGGCCATTTAAATATGGCCGTTGGATCACCAAAAGTAGCCGTTAGGCCAAAAACACGCCCTGACACACGAGGGACAAGCCCATTGGGTGGGGTCTCGCTAGGATTCGACCTAGAGCGTTGGGCTCGTTGGGCGAGTTGTTTTGGGCATGTGGGCTTCACAACTCAGTTTTCACTCTCACTAATGGGGCCCACACTAATTTCTGGCCTAAAAAGGGGCCGGTATTTGGCATTCATTTGAGTTTTAGGTTTTAGGCCACACTTTTAACTTGGGTTGGGTTGGGTTTGGGGGGAGAATAGAAGTGGAAATTTAGATTATAAGCTAGGGTTGGAATTAGCCTGATGGCATCTAGAAGGGCATGTGTCATCTATGTAGATATTATTGCTTGTCTCAAATATGTGGGTTTCAATTTTCTTCTGGTGCAAAGCATCACGAAGATTATAGCTAAGAAACGCATATCGTACTTTTCCTCAGTGAGAATAGCAATAGAAAAGAAGCAGCCGTATCCATTACCTAAAAAAACCGACAAGTCGAGTTTCCAAAAAAAAAAAAAGGGACAAGTCGCAATATGCAAATGTTCTTGGCATAGATTATAGCTATGATGTATCTATATATAGTTCATAACCTGCAAATCCACACAACACAACAAAAGAACATGTAAACTAACAACACTAGCTAGTGACAGAATATGCAAGTGCACATTCATTTCTTTATTCAACACTGTTTGGGTCTACCGAGTCCTAGATGTCAAATGAGCCCCAAGAAAGTAGGATCGTATGGTAAGGTCATGAATGTGGTAGTGCTGCAAAATTGTACCTACAAAATAATTAAACACCTTTGATCAAAGACCAAACATAATTATATAACACATAGAGCTCATGATTGCTACCAATAATCATAAAAGCTTAACACACACGATAAGATTGCTACCACTTTGTCAAGGTGTTTTCTTTTCTCAATAGCAATCAACCATTCAGCCTACATTTATTTATTTATTTCTCAATAGCATATGTTCAAGAATAAAAGAAAAAGTACCAAATTAAAATCCCTATAGACATTGCTTATATATTCATCTCCATAAGACCCCAATCCAGAATTCTCAGGGATGCAAAAGATTCCACATCTGTTTGGTTTGAATATATTTGAAATATTTCTAAAATCTCATTTTTATGGGTGTAGCTTTGTTCATTTTACTAAAATTTCATTAGATTTGGTCCTCGAGTTTGAAAAAGCTTTCATCTTGCTGTAAATTTTAGTTTTTTCTCTCTGTGTAGGTCCATCCGCTTATATTTGAAAGTCTAAGAATTGCTAATGAATTTATTAGAGATTCTAAGAAGAAGGGGAATCTTTTCTTCGACGAAATCATTGCTGAAATTTCTAAAGGTATTGACAATTGGGTGGTTTTCTATTCCGCAGACTGCAAACTTAGGTAGAAAGTTGGCTTTGGAGAATGACGTAAGGATCTGCAAATTTTCTCTGTAATTCAATTTGGTTACGCCTGAAATGTAGTTTTGTTAACAGAAACTTTCGAATTCGCCATTGTGATTGTATGTTGGCTTTTAATGTCAACTTAATAAAACGTAAATGCAAACTGAATTGCATATTTTACCATGTCGATTCACCCATGTCTTGGTTTTTCAATTATTTGGGGATGAATGTGTCAATTTGTGGTTTTATGGGAATTACTCAAGTAAAATGTGTGTTATCTAGATTGCTGCGTTTGAGAATGCGATTGTGTTGCTCTGCCTTTTAAGTGTACTTTTCTGTAAATATCATCCATAGCTATTGTCGATTATAGTTTGAAAATCTGCCATAGAGCGAGCATAATTTTTGTAGTCTATTTTAAAGTGGGAGGGAATTGGCTATAGCTTAGCTAGATTACAAGTTTGCCCTTCGATTTTACTTTATTTACAACAAAAACCATCGGATCGGGACATAGGGATAGGGGCAATTCAGTCTTCATGTTTCCACCAACAAAGCCATCGCGTGTTGGTCTGCGCTCTCCTTCCTCTCATCGCTCACTCCTCCTTCTCTTCTCTGCGTTGTTCCTCTGCTCTCCTCTCTCTTCGCTCCCCATATCTCCCGCTGTGAAGCCCACAAACAAGTTGTGCCGGTCGACAACCCTCATAATGGCGGACGCGCACTGGAGGTACAGCGACGGTCAACAACCGCCTCCGTCGTCGATGAATTCAGCCGTCGGAAAGCGTCCTCGCTCCGATTAAGGTATGTTGAATTCCTCGAATTTCTTTTATTACGGTTTGTTTGGGGGTTTATAAATTAGGGTTCTTGGGGATTTTAGGCTTTCCTCACTCCTTTTTTTTTTTTTCCAGAAATTCCACTGTATTTCTCAGATCGGAGCTGTTGTGGTTTTGAAAAAAAAGGGCCCTAATTTTGGTTTTTGGTTTCGTCTCTCTGATAATTACTTTAAACCCCCAAAAGATTTGAAATTTCTGGTAAATTTTCTCATTGTTGAACAGACTCACTATAAATCTTTGAGCTATTGTACGCGTGGTGTGCCTTTTCTTTATGCCTGGTGTTTTGATGTATTTTTGGGTTTAGTTATTGTGTGCGCTATTTGAGTCCGCCGAAATCAAAATTCGTATTGGGTTAATGACATTGGGTAGTTCTTGGGTACCTTGCCATTTATCCAAAAATAAGTTAATGACATTGGTCATGAAACAATTTTATGTTTAGTTGGAGAATGGGGTTGGTTCAATGAGATTTGTATTCATGAGCTATAGACCCAGATTTATGAATCGTATCTGTTCTCTTGATATGTATGAGTGTGCGTTGGAGATGTAAACAGAGAGAATGAATGAGAGGGTTGAAATGGAATCAACCCCGTGGTTGGGGACTGAATGGATGTAAAATGTTGGATCAAGTAAAAATTGGATAGTTGACCAGCCCATTGTGGTTCTCTCTTTGGTTTTTTTGAGAAAGCATATCTGGTGTGAGTGTGCTGTACTGACTGCTTTAATTTTTTATGACCCTTAAAGATGGAGATTAAACTACAGTGTTGTGGGGTGAAAAGTTATTTGAAAATAATGGAAATAAAATTTTCTGCATCGTGAGTCTTTTATGTTTTCAATGTTTTAAATTACATTGATCTGTATTATCTTAAAGTACATATAAAGATTAGTTTTTAGGTGTATGCACTTAATATTGGATATATGGTATTTTCAGGTTATTTGACATACAATTGCATATAATCTCAATTTCTCATGCAATTTGTCTGCGCTTCGGAATCGTTGAAGAATTTATCTAAATAATTAATTGATTGAAATGGCTGTTAGTAATGAATGAGGTGTTTACTGTTTTTTGGTGTGTACAGAGCGAACGGTATGTTGTTAACGAAGGCAAAAACAAGATGCAGTTTAGGTTAGTTTGATTCTAACTCCTTTTCTTAGTTTATTTGAATAAAAAATTGGTAAGTTCGAGTCCAATTTGATGATTTCTTGCAGATTCTTTAATCAGTGATTTTCTTAACCCTCATCACACGTATGAATCCTATTTGATAATGAAATAACATAGTTATTTTAGTTATAGTAAGGATTAAAAACTCTCTTTTAATAAATTAGTTTTCTATATCCTTTTCATGCTGATTGGCTAAGAATTTGTGTATCATTTTAATACATGTCAAATAAGATTTCTGCTTTTTGCAATCCATTTTTAATCTTTATAAATTACTTGATTTAGTATTGTTATATAGTATATAAATTGGCGTGTTAAGTGTATCACAGTATCAGTCTGTTGTTTTAACAGTTTGATTTTTGAATTACTCACTTTCCTTTATGTTATATCTTTGCATTTTAAACGGAAGGTATTTACTGGAGTAATTATGTTTGTTTGATTGTAGGGATCTTATTGAAAAGCAAGGAAGATGAATTGATATATTTTATTGCAGAGGTCAGGATAAACTATGCTTCTGTACCAGAAAAATTTACGAAATAAGAGTTGGATAAGATGGTAAGTAGGTGGGTTTGATATTCAATGTGGCTGAGTTTAGTTAATTTCTGTAGATTATTAAATGTTTGAATATGTCTATCAGGCTGCAGTAGAATCTCTCATTAGGAAAGAGAGGCTAGACTTAAAATTGAGCGGTCACAAAATTCCCTCTCAGATGAGCACATGACAATACTAGGTATATTTTAAATTTTCTATACTGAAACTCCTCTATATTCTTACTTTCAGTATTCAAAAATGCAGTCGACTCAAACAATATATTTTTACCCTATTCTTTTTGGGTTTATATGTTCCTCTGGTTTTATTTAGAATCATGAAACTTGACTACAGCAAGAAGCATAACAGTAATGGTTGGTTTGTGTTATTTTTTAAATTTTATCCCAACCTCTCAGCTGAAATATTGGGAAGATTATAATCTTTTTCCTTTCATATCTTCTTTTCCGTATAAACTGTATCAATAAAATATTTCATAAATGAAAATGTACCTAGCATTGTCAACACAAATAGCATTAATCTTCTGTCACACAAACTTGGGGTTGCTGCCATTGTGTTGTGATATAGTAGAAAATTGTGGTTTCAGATGCAAATGACGAGATGGTTGTGTGTGTTTTGCAAGTAAAACTGAAACTTTTTGTTGAGGAAGAAGATTGATACTGATTCAGAGATGGATTTACATTTTTATGGTCAAATTTTGGTTAGAGATTGCTGTCTGAGATTACTGTCGGCTCAACATTTGTTTTTCTTATGATTTCTAGACTTTTAGATTAAAAATGTTAGATGCATATGTAACTTTATAAGGGGTTTCAGCGTTATTGTGTTTGCATCTATGGCCACTAATCACATTAGTTTTTAGTGCATGAGATTGATCTTTGTTTTATACGAAGATTTATACTAAGATGCTAATATGGAAGGTCTAATTCTAATCCTGCAGCAACGCACGGGCATTACTATGTAGTATATCCTATACCTATATTTTGTTTCTTGTTGAACATTAGGATGTAAATAGATTTTGAGATCGATGGTAGACAATTTTTAGTATATTTCACATGTTTTAAAACTTGCGACATCATGCGAGTGCAATTGCTAGTATTTGCATAGAATTTCAATTGTCAATTTCAACTACGTACCTTATATTGTATGGTGGAATTGTGGTTGAAGATTGGATGAACTCGATTTTTTATCTTTAATTTTTTTTTTTCAAATTGAAGTTTAGGAGAGAGAAAAAATAACAAGATCTGGAAGTGCCCAAGGACTATATGGTGGAATCTAAAAGGAGAAAAACAAGCAATTTTCAAAGAGAAAGTAATCACCCAAGGCGTGTGGGATAGAGAGAGGGAAGCTAGCCAAATGTGGGATTCCATGGCTAGTTGTATCCGAAAAGTAGCAAAAGAGGTATTATGAGAGTTAAAGGGCTTTGCTCTACGCCAAAAGGAATCTTGGTGGTTCTTCTAAAAAAAAAAAGGAATCTTGGTGGTGGAATGAGGAGGTACAAACAAAGGTGAAGGCTAAGAAGCAATGTTGTAAAGCCCTATACAAGGATAAGACCGATGAAAATGGTGAAAGGTATAGACTAGCGAAGCAGGAGGCGAAGAAAGCTGTGAGAGAAGCTAAGATAGCGACTTATGACGATATGTATAAGCGACTAGATACCAAATAATGAGAGTTGGATATCTATAAACTAGCTAGAGCAAGGGAAAAGAAGACAAGGGACCTAAACCAAGTGAGGTGCATCAAGGATAAGGATGGAAAAGTTCTTGCTACAAAGAACGTGGTCAAAGATAGATGGAGAGGTTATTTTCATAATCTTTTCAATGAAGGACATGAAAGGAATACTTCTTTGGGGGAGTTGAGTAACTTAGAAGAGTGTAGAAACTACTCATTTTACTGCCGAATCAGGAAGGAAGAAGTGGTTGTAGCTTTGAAAAAGATGAAGCATAGAAAAGCAGTGGGCCCAAATGATATACCAATCGAAGTGTGGAAAATCTTGGGAGAGACGGGTATAGCATGGCTCACAGACCTTTTTCAATAGGATTTTGAAAACGAAGAAGATGCCAAATGAGTGGCGAAAGAGCACTTTGGTGCCTATGTACAAGAATAAGGGCGACGTACAAAATTGCATGAACTATAAGGGTATTAAGCTAATGAGTAATACAATGAAGCTCTGGGAGAGAGTCATTGAGCATAGATTGAGGCAAGAGACAAGGGTTTTGGACAATCAATTTGAGTTCATGCCAGGGCGCTCAACCATGGAGGCAATCTATCTCTTACGAAGATTGATGGAAAGATATAGAGATAGGAAAAATGATTTACACATGGTCTTTATAGATTTGGAAAAAGCGTATGATAAGGTCTCAAGAGACATTCTTTGGAGGATTTTAGAGAAGAAAGGAGTACAAGTAGCATATATCCAAACTATAAAAGATATGTATGATGGAGCAAAGATTGTTGTAAGAACACATGAAGGACAAACCAAAAGCTTCCCCATAACTGTTGGGTTACATCAAGATCCTTAAGTCCTTACCTTTTTGCATTGGTAATGGATGAGTTAACGGGACATATTCAAGATGATATTCCTTGGTGCATGCTTTTTGAAGACGATATAGTGTTAATAGATGAAACTTAGAAAGGGGTAAATGCGAAGCTTAACCTTTGGAGAGAAGTGTTGGAATCTAAAGGTCTTCACCTAAGCCGATCAAAGACAAAATATATGGAGTGCAAGTTAAGTGCAAATGAAGGCCAAAATGAGTTAAGGGTGAAGATCGGAGATCAGGAAGTACCAAAGAGCGACTGCTTTCGCTACCTAGGATCTATTTTGCAAAAGAACGAAGAATTAGATGAAGACCTCAACCATAGAATACAAGCTGGATGGATGAAGTGGAAGAGTGCATCCAGCGTGTTGTGTGACCGTCGTTCCACTGAAGCTCAAGGGAAAATTTTATAGGACAACAATAAGGCCGGCAATGCTGTATGGCACAGAATGTTGGGCGGTGAAGCATCAACACGTACATAAAATGAGTGTAGTGGAGATGAGGATGCTTCGTTGGATGTGTGGGCACACAAGAAAGGATAAGATTAGGAATAAGGATATTCGAGGTAAAGTAGGAGTGGTCGAAATTGAAGGAAAGATGAGAGAAAATCGGTTACGGTGGTTTGGACATGTGCAAAGAAGGCCAACTGATGCTCCGGTTAGAAGATGTGACTACAGGACAGAGGTCCATGAGCGAAGGGGTAGAGGAAGACCTAGGAAAACTTTGGAAGAGACTCTAAGAAAAGACTTAAGAGTACTTGGATCTAACGGAGGACATGACACAGAACCGAGCGCAATGGCGTTCTAGGATTCATATAGCCGACCCCACTTAATGGGAAAATGCTTTGTTGTTGTTGTTATTGTAGATTGAAGTTTCGGAGCGGCTTGAACTAGCAATAGACTCGTCACTTCCACTTGCATTTGACTTGTCACTTCCACTTGCTTGCTCATACTCATCTCTTCCACTTGCTTCCTCAGACTCATTGCTTGCTTCCTCGTCGCTTCCACGTTCTCTCTCAGAGTCTTCGCTTCCACTTGCTTCCTCATACTCATCGCTTTCACTGGCTTCAGGATCACCACTCCCACTTGCTACAGGCTCATCTTGTTCTTGTCATGACATGACATCAACTTTTAATTTCTCAGCGTCTTCGGCATACAACAGGCCTATCCTACGCCTTGTCACCTCACAGAATAGAGGTCTCATCAACCCCCAGGTTGTATACGCTTCACAGAAGTAACCAGAGACTTCAGTGACACGGTTGTAAAATGCAGAGGACCATTTTGCTCCCTTTTCATATTCAAGGTCTTTATACAATACGAACACGTGCCGTCCATAGAATATGCAATGTTCAACTCGATATGGACATCTGAAAGAACAATTGATTTCATGAATTCCCCCCTCTTCCGTTTTGAAATTGTACTTGCATCTAAACTGCAGACCCTGCTTAAAAATGAATCTTTTGTATGCAACAAAAGAGAGCGCGAAACCCAAGAAACCTTCACGAAACCAATTTGTAGGAAGCCTGACATTTATTGAATCCCCTTTATTTTGATGCACAAACCATTTTGGAATTTCTTCTCCCGGACATACAATGGTAACCAAGGGCTCAGAAAACTCTTTCTGCAACAGTGATTCACATCATGTTACTAAACACACACATATCTAATATCCAAAGGAAGAAATTTTTTCATGAGACCAAACTGATGACGGCAACTCCTTTATGCCACTGTTCTTTAAACTTAAAAATTCAATATTGCTTGGCATCTTTGGAAGATACTCCAGACTCACGCACCATGAAAGATCAAGACAAGTAAGCTTGTCAAGATCTTTAAAATTCAAAGGAATTTCAACCAAACTCTCACATGCGTAAAGATCTATGTGCACGATATTTGGACTTCCTGTGAGGTTTGGAAGTGCAGTTAGATGTTTGCATTTACTAAGTCTGATCGCTTTTAAGTTCACAGCAAGGAAGAAAATATCGGTAATATCGGAAATATCGGTAGTCCGAAAACACGGAAATATCGATGGAAATATCGGGATAATATTGATATCGATAAAAATTACATGGAAACCACGGAAATTGTAAGAAAAACTTGGAAATTTTTAATGAAACTTTGCAGGATGTTTATTTAGTCAATTATCTATTAGTTTATCACAAAAAATTGGAAGGAAATGCATTGCATGATGGGTTTAACTGATTTAAGTTGATTATATAGCGAGCTGGCAAACATTGTGAGTGTAGAAAATATGTAGTAATTAATGAAAGAAGTTTAAACACACCATAATCATTTATATTTAATTAATTAGTACAATATTGGGAGGTTTTATTTAGGATATTAAAAAAAAAAGGAAGTGAATAAAATGATGAAGAATAATGTGCCGAATTTGACACTTTAAATTTCTTACATATAAGCATGCGTCTATGCGTTGAAGTTCCAAATTATACTATATCAATTAACGATTGAAAATCAATACGTTGAATAAGACTAAACTTTAATTTGGATGCCGATGATGTATTTTCAAGTTTATATAAAGTAAAAGAATTGAATTTTGGAAACTAGGAGTGTGTCAATTGTTTTATAATTCGTCCGAATACATATATCAGGTTGCTACTCAACGTAATTTGAAATCTAGTGCAAGGACTTGTCTTTTTTTGTTGATAAGCAAAGGGTTTGTAGCTTTTTTTGCTAAGCAGTAGAACATATTATGTTTGTTTAATCTTTAGCATTTGATCGTTGTCCACAAATATAGGATAGAAGGCCCCAAATTAGATCTGGCTCTTAAGTCTTACCTAGTTGGAGTCACAAGTTCACATGTACCAGCCTTCGCAAGTCGCAGCAAAACGTTTTGGTTTCTGTAATCCCACCATTGGCGGGGCTAGAATTTTTGGTGAGGAGGGGCCTCTCATAAAGGTTTTTTTTTAATTTTTTTAAGCGGATGGTATTTACAAGGCTAATATATATCTCAAAATCAAATATTCAAAACAACATATGCACATATAATATTACATACACACAAAAATTATAATTGTTCTTGACGAGTTTTTATATTTTAAAATCGTTTTATTATAATCCCGTTGCCTATACTATTATGTAGAATAGAGAAATAAAAACTTTACGAACCATAACTCTCATGTAATATGTAGAATAGAGAAGAAACGATAGAGAAACAAAGAAATTTAAAACTTATTTGTTGAATAGATTTCAAATTTAGGATTATAAAATGTATGAGATTTCAAAAAGAAAAGGGGAATTTTTTTTTAATTTTCATAATTAAAATTGAATGTTTTCTATTCAAAGAAAGGCGAAATATTGCTTTGATTTTAAATGCTATTAATTTGTGTTAAGGAGATAGCTAGATAAAATATTAAAGCTAATTGGGAGATGGGTTTATGCTTGAAACTTGGAAAGCAGGACTTGAAGCAATAGAAAGATGCATAATTCCCATATATATATATATATTTGTTTTAGAAAGCAAGCAATAGAAAGATGCACAATTCCCTAATATATGTATTTGTTTTAGAAAGCCAGGACCTTTACTCCCTCCGCCAGTGAATCCCACATCGCCCACGCAAGGGCAGTGAGCAAGCAAACAGGCTTATAAAAGCCACATTCCCAAGCTCTGTAGTCTCACATCGCCCACGCAAGGGCAGTGAGCAAGCACACATGCCTATAAAAGCCACATTCCCAAGCTGAGGAAAGCATGCCTTGCTC